GTGTAAAGGACTTTTCGTATAACAGACTCGTCCCTTGCATGAATCGAGTCCATTAGACGGGGGTTGACTGTATACTGTACAACACCAGGAAGTGAACCTGGAATCCAAGGTACTGGGGAAGAACCCTTGTCTGTCCAGACGAGGAGACGGAACCCAGAAACGCTGCGAACCGCCAGAGAACAAATTGTTAACCGTGCCCATTATTATTCCGGCCCGCTTGGGGGGGATTAAAAATGAAAGAAAAAACCAAGCGAGTATAATTTAGTAAGTTCAGGAGAAGGAGAGTAACTGAAAAAAAAAACGAAAACACAGGTGAAGGGAGAAGAAGAAGAAGAAGGGGAGGAAAAAAAAGTGATGAAGGGGCGAATTTAAGGCAGGAAGAAGAAACCTGTGCCTGAATTTGGTGTCAGGTGAGACATGTAAATTTTACCTCGCGAATCCACCTCAAAGGTGGGTACGTGAGTGTAGATCATAAGGGATGAGGAGAAGAAACAAGAATGGGATGAAGTGTTGTCCCTTATTTTAATCATTTATTATTATTTTTTTTTTCATGGGGAAGTGATGATAAAAGTTCAACCCCATGATTCCTTTTTTTCTGGAATTCCAGATCATTTTTGCAGAAATACCTTCTATGTTATTGCCATGCAAAAGATGTTGACTGACTTCCATGGGGTTCTCCTTTCATGAGTGCATTTTAAAGGAGTCTCACAATTACAGTCAACCATCCATTTAGTGCCACCCTCAGATAGTGCCAGAAATTTCCCTGAAACAAGTCTCACTCCATTTTCTTTGTGAGGGAAACCCTGATTTAGTGCCAACTCACTTGGTGCCTCAAAAAATGTCATATCCTGGATGAAAAACTGGCAAAAATTGAGGAAAATTAAGGCCCTGTTTTAGCAATGTGAATGGGATTTCACTGAGAATTAAATTTCAACACCAACAAAAAGCTCAGAATTTATTTGAACAATCTATCTTTAGTTCAAATAGTAAAAAAAAAATGTTTGTTGTTGCATGACACCTTCCTTCAATGCAAAATTTTAAATTGAAGTGGAAACTTTCCTTGAAACATTTGGGAATTCCTGCTTATTGTGGCACTTGATATTGAACACGAACAAAACTTCAAGAAATGGCTCTACTCTTCTACTAGACACAACACATGCGGGTATAAAAATCTACTAAAATATTTTTTGTATTAAAAATGTTTAAATACAATGAAGAAAATGATGCATTTGAGCTTCAAATAATTTTTGTGGCTTTCTCTTTTATAAAAACACTCAGGAGCCTCAAATATATGTGAATAAGCTCATTTCGCTTAAAGTATAAACTAGCAATTAAACCTTTCTCTTATGGATTACCCTCAATTCAGTGCCATCCTTGCTTAGTGCCACAAATTGTGCCAGGACAAATGATGGCACTAAATTGGGGTTTGACTGTTTATTGCCTCCTTTGGGGGAACACACTACTGTATTACAGTTGGCTCTGGCCAACAGGAGAAAGAATTGAAGAATTGATAGAACATTCTGTTAAACACCAATCCTGAATCTTTTCTTTATGAGCTTCAATTCAAGCATAAGTTAAAAAAATGTATAATGTATTACAATATTTGTTGAAAATTTTTAAATTTTCAGTCTAAACAAAAACTGGGTCTTATGTTGAATAGGTTTGTGGGCAAAAAACCAGATTAAAATTGATTTATTTACTATGTTGTTTTAGAAATCCAACTACTGCACCATAAACAGGTTAGCATGACTTTAGAAAAGAACTGATCTCTGAAAACAGTTTGAAATCTTGAAGACATATCTTACAAAGTTACAATTTACCAATTTACCAGAGAGTGTCAGTAATTTCCTGAGCTTTCCAACTTTCTTACTGCATCCACTGACATCAAATGAAAACCATCACAGGGAGTCAACCAAAAAGAACCCCATCAATATTAGTACTGCACATGCAAGATTTATTGTTCTTATTTATAATTCTGCTCATAGAATAAATATAAGAGTATGTGTGTGTATGTATATAAGTCTTATATAAGAAATGATGCCTGTCATTTAGACTGCTGTACTGTACTGTGCCGTATTTCCCCATTCTCTTTTCTTTCTCACCCTTCTCTATCCTTATGCATCAAAGGTTCTTTTTTATTTCATTTTTTAAGAACTTATAGAGAGCGTCGAAGATGTGCCTGTAATTCCGACGAAAAGCCCGTCATCCTTCATCTTGCACATACTCACGCATAGCCCGAATGACGAAAGGGAGGGGGTTGGAGTATTTTTTGCCCTCATCATATTGCACCCGGGTTCTGGGTTCTGCCGGAAGCTAAAGCGTGTGCTCATCTTTTGTGGGCGCTCATTATTCCGGCTCACGATCGACGCCCCGAAAATTAAAACCCGGGGAACAAAGGGACATTGGAGCCTCTGGCCTGGAGCCCTCATAGAAGAAGAAGAAGAAGGAGGAGGAGGTGGAAAGAAGGGGGGGGGGATCAATTATTATTTGAGAGGACGAGCACAGGGCCAGCTTCATCCCAGTTTTTCTTTCCTGTCGGTGTAGGAGGGCCATTAAGTACAGTGAGACCCCCAGCATGCAGACACCTCAACATGAGGACAATTTGACATAGAGGGACATTTATTTTTCAATAAAAAGGGCTTTACAAATGCCCAACATATGGACACTGACTTGACATGAGGACATTGCATGATAAAATTGCCAATAAATTTAACAAAAAATTGACTTTTATTTGGCATGATTGCGATAAACAGATATTCCCAACCCTAAGACTCATGCACGAAAAATTCTTAGTCATTTCTCCCATCATTTCCCCATCCATTCAGCTGATTAAAATTACCTGTAGCATAGAGGGACTTTCTTCTCTCTTTGTGACTTGAATATTATTGTTAAGATGCAAACATCTCAATGTACAGTACAGAGATACACTATTTGATGCTCCTAATGTTCTTATTCAGTTGAAAATATATTCACTTGATCAAATTCAATTGTAAAATTATTTTTTTTCATGGAATTCTGAAGAATATTTCTTCAATAAAACACCAATTAATAATTATATAATGTAAGTCTATGGGAAAACAAGACTTGACTTATAGGGACAATTCAACTTAGGGACACTCTTGATGCACCAATTACCTCCTCAACTGCGGGTCTCACTGTATTATTCTCCTTGGCTGATGGGCAGATGACACATGCAGCTTTTTTTTGTCATGAAGGAAATAAAAAATGGAATGCACAAAATTAAAGACAGGGACAATTTAAGAACAGAGAAGGAACAAAATTGAGAACATTTTGAGACAGAAAAATCAGAGAAAGAGACAGTTGATGCAGACAAAATGGCATTTGCAGTTCAAGACATTTGAATAAAGTTGGCTAAGGAGAGGCATGAATGAAATGTGTAGTCAAAAATTTGTTTCAAGTCCCCATCTGAATTCCCTTAAAAAGAATACATTAAAATCCTTCTTAACTCATAGGCTTTTCCTCTACATCCTTCATAATTCAAAATTTTTGAGGTCATCAGAATGAATGGTAGTATTATTTATAGGAGCAGTAAAATAAAAAAGTCAATAAAAAACAGAATTTGATGGCCTTTGAAAAGATGTGACTGACTAAATTGGGCAAATGAACCCCTGTCTCCAAGTTCAGCACCCAGTCAACTCATTTTGGAAGTAATTGAAGGCCCATAATATCACCATATATATACAGTATTTTAGTATACAGTATTCTTCAATTTTTCCCCTCAATAAAAATGCTTAATTCCATAAGTTGAACATCTGTATTCAGTAACTCAAAACCTCAATGAGTTCATTTTTTTTACTGGTCCCTTTAAATTTGATTTAGAGAGGTTCAAATTAACCCACCATGAATTAATATTCCCCATCCTTCTCTTTTTAGAAACTTTAAAACCTTTATGTACATCACAATGTTTATCACACATTTGTTTCGAATGACACCAGCAAGAAAACTCTCATCTATATATGTAATGGTTTGGGCTGTCAATTTAAACACTGCGCCGAATATGTATATGTCGATTGCGACACTGGTTTTTTTCCCCGAGTCTCGTCGTCCTAGGTCACACAACCCCATGTGACGACAGTGATGACATGGCTTTGTGCTCGCCTGCCTTGAGGGAATCCGGGTCTTTTGCCCGGGGTTTTTCGATGGTGCGTGATTTTGATGAGATGGCTCGTCATCCGTGTGCCCTCGAGGGAAAAAGGCCAGGGCGAAAAGCCTGTTTTATTCTTCTCTTCTTCTTTTTTTTCCTCTCTGGGGGGTTTGTTGAACTTTGTTCTATTCCGAGACCCAAGATTCCTTCTTCTTCTTCTTCTTTTTCCTCATCCTTTCAATGGGATCCTGTCTCATATATGTGGGGTCGACTGCAGGAATTCGCGAATATGGGAGCTCCTAAATTCCCGTCCTCGTGAAATGGGCAAAAGCCAGCCATTAAACTTTTGAGCATGTTGGGATTTTTGCATGTAGATTGGATATTGGAGGATTTCTTGATGTGAAGGATTTGTTCCAGTGCATCAGGGTGCATTGCATATACAGTACTGTACTTTGCATCTTCATGAAATAATAATTGTAGTACAGGTGGTACCTTGCAATTCAAACTCCATTACAGTGAGACCCCCACATGCGGACGCCTCGACCTGTGGACAATTTGACATAGGGACACTTATTTTCCCCTGACAAAATTAATAAAAATGGCCCAACAAGGGGACACTGACTCAACATAGGGACATTTTGTGATAGAATTGCAAACAAATTTCAGGCCAAATCACAAGAAACAGAAATTTCCAACCCTAAAATTGATTTGAGAGAAGTTCTTAGGCATTTCACTCACCAAATTACCATCCATTTAGCTAATTAAAAAAAATTACCTCCAGCAGAGAGAGACATACTTTTTTTCACTTGAATATTATTTTTGCAGATGCCAAAATTTCAGTGTACAGTACTGAACAGAGATACACTATTCAATGCTCCAAATGTTCTTATTGAGTTGAAATGTATTCACTAATTCAGATTCAAGTGGCAAGCAATTTTTTCAGGGAATTCTGAAGAAAATTTCTTCCACAAAACACCAATTAAAAATTATATAATGTAAGTATATGGGAAAACAAGACTTGACTTAGGGACATTTTGACTTGGGGACACTCTTGATGCACCAATTACGTCCGCATCTTGGGGTCTATTTCTCTCACCAAATTACCGTCCATTTAGCTAATTTAAAAAAATTACCTCCAGCATAGAGGGACTCCTACTTTTTTCACTTGAATGTTATTTTTGTAGATGCCAAAATTTCAGTGTACGATACAGAGATACACTATTCAATGCTCCAAATGTTCTCATTGAGTTGAAAATGCATTCACTAATTCAAATTCAAGTGGCAAACATTTTTTTCAGGGAATTCTGAAGAATATTCCTTCCACAGAACACCAATTGAAAATTATATAATGTAAGTCTATGGGAAAACAAGACTTGACTTAGGGACATTTTGACTTGGGGACACTCTTGATGCACCAATTACGTCCGCATCTTGGGGTCTCACTGTAATTTGAACATCCCACAATTTGA